CGTCGCCGATACGTACGGCGAAGAGGCGGCGGGGACAAAGTTGGCGCCCGGCGAGGCACTGTACGACGACACACCCAACCCGAACGCCATGGAGCGGATGGCTACGTTGAAAAAGGCGCGGCACCTACCACGTCCCCACACGCGTCCCTGATGTCCTCCCTGTGAGACTCCGCCGCACGCGTCTGTCAGGGCACGCGAGCCACCTCCTCCGTCCGCGACCCCGAGAAGAAGATTGACTTTACCAAGTCGGAGTCGGGCTTCGACTTTGCGCCCTGGATGCAGGCGAGGCGGCCGGGGCGATCCCGAGTTGCCGCACAGCGTCTAGAGATTTTCGCACAGCTTCCAGAGACTCGACACACAGCTTGCCTGCCAGCCACAGTACCACTCGCGCTGCCTCTCGCCCGTTCCAACTCTCTCTTCTTTCGCCCCCCAGATCGACCAACGGGCGGTGGCGCGCGCCGAGAAAGAGCGCAAGGCGCGCAAGGCGAAGGACAAGAAGAATATGTAGCGCCTCCGGGCGGCGGGGAAGCGGGGAGAGCATATCTGACTTTTGGATTCGCGCGTTTGCGGCCGCGCCGGCGTTCGCCGAGCGAGCGCGAGAGATGAGGGGTGGAACACCCCCCCAGCCCCCACGTGTGTGTGTGTGTAAATAAATAAATACAACGGACATCCCAAGCTAGGGCTGGGTCGAGGACAGACACGTCCCCACCTTTGCAGGATTTTGCAAAAGCGAGGGGGGAGGGCGCATCGCCGCGCGGAGAGGGCTGGGCACAGGGCACAGGGGATCTCTCTCGCATAGGATATGCACTCGGCGGCACGAGGGCAAGGCTGGGCGTCCTATGTGTGTGTGTGTGTTTAGCAAGTTTATACACGTTATAGTGTTTTTTGAAGGTGCCGAGTTCGTCGTGCGATGCACGGTGACGGCCGCCTTTGCGCGGCAGAGACTGAGATTTTTTTTAAGCCCCTAGTGTGTGCAGCCCGCTCTAGCCAGCGGGATCGGTCACGACTAACGTGTCACATATATTTGTATCCTCGTATTACTTCACCTCGGCGAGCAACTTGTCGAAGGTTGCCACCGCCTCCTTCAGCTTGGCGGACTGCGCCTGGGGGTGCACGGTGGGCAAGAGGTGAGCGGCTATAGCCGTCGGGTGGTGCGGGCAGGGCGGGCCTTCCTCGGCGAGGGCTCGCTGTCTCTCTCCTGCGCACCTTTAGGTCAGCAGTGGGACGGACCTTGCACGCGCCAGGCTCGTCGCGCGGAACGACGCCCTGGGCGCAGTAGCCACTGAACATGCCCGGCATCACGGCTTCCTGAGAGTACGCAAACTCGTCGAGCGAGTAGAGCTGCGCGTCCAGCGCCTTGGTCAGCGGCCGCAGGTCGCGCTTCGTTTCCGCAACCAGGGCGCCAGTGCTCTTGCGGGCGGCGACGATGGCGTTGCGCAGCTTGCCCCAGTCGCCAGCCTCGAGCAGAGCGGGTGCGTCGTTCGCGAGCGAATCTCTGAGCGTCTTCAGCCGCGAAGCAGGCAGTGCCGCCACCCGCTCTGCCTCGCGCTTGTCTGCGACTGCCTTGGCAAACTCGGCCTTGTCGAGCGCTTGCGCCGGCGCAGCAAGAAGTGCGGCGGCGGCGGCAGCGGCGGCGGACTGCTGCAGCGCGGCGCGGCGCAGCATGAACGTCTGCTGCTGCGGCAGGCGCAGTGCGGCCGCCACCCCGAGGAGAAGTAGCGCAGCGAAGCGGGGTGTCATTGTTAAGGTGCACCTTAATTTCGCCGCGGTTTCTGGCGATTTTTCCTAGGCCTCTCCCATCACTGAGCTCCCCTGCAGCTCGTCTTCTGATAAATGCAGAGAACGAACGATTTTCTCCTTTCTTCTCGTGCGTTGATGTCCACCGAGCTGCTGCTCTCGTTCATATTACTCGCACCCGCCGCCCCGAAGTCCGTCGGCGCGCGCGCGCCAGAGCGCACTCCGCTGCCGGCCTCGCAGCCGGTAGCTCCGCTGCCCTCGCGCTCCGCGCTCTGCGGCGCTCTCAAGCAGACGCGAAACCGGCAGTCAATCGCGCGGCTCATCGCCGAACTCGAGCCGCAGTCTCAAAAGGAATACACGATGTGTATCGCCGCCTGGGGCCGCGCCGGTGACTGGCGCCGCGCCGTCGGACTCTTTGACACAATGAGCGATGCCGGCGTCGAGCCGAATCCGTTCAGCGTGAGCGCCGTAGTGTCCGCGTGCGAGAAGGGCGGGCAGCCGGCGCGCGCGCTCGAGATCTTCGAACAGGCGCGCGCCGGCGATCGGTTCGAGAGCAATGTTGTCGTCTTCAACGCTGCGCTCGCCGCTTGCTCGCGGGGCGGCGAGTGGCGGCGCGCTCTCGACCTGCTGGCCGAGATGCAGCGGCAGGGCCTCTCGCCAAACTGCAACTCGTTCAACTCCGCCATCAGCGCGTGCGGCCGCGCAGGCGAGCTGGACACGGCGCTCGAGCTCCTGTCGACAGGCATGCGCGCTGCGGGCGTCGAACCCGACGTCGTGAGTTGGAGCGCCGCCATCGCCGCGTGCCAGCGGCGCGGCGAGTGGCGGCGCGCTCTCGAGCTTCTCGACGGCATGCGCCGACAGGGCGTCGCACCAAACGAGCGGACCTTCGGCGCGTCTTCCCTGGCTGCCCATGGTGCTGCACACGCGAGATGAGCGACGCCCCGGTTGCCATAGGCGCCGCCATCTCGGCTTGCGCAAAGGGAGGCGCGCCGCCGGAGCGTGCGCTGGAGTTGCTCGCGGAGATGCGCTCAAGCGGACTCCGCGTCACACAGGCAGCTACCCGAGATCAACCGAGATCAACCCAAAGATCGACCCGTGTGATCACGACACGCGGCGCAGGTGGCCGTCAGCGCCGCCATCAACGCGTGCGGCGCCGCGGGGGACTGGAAGGCCGCCCTCTTCCTCCTCGATGAGATCCGCCGCTCCGGTGCCTCCTCCTCTCTCGCTGGGCGGGAGGCTGGGGCGTGACGTGACCGCCACATGATTGCGCCACCGCTACCGCTGCGACAGGCGCACGACCCGACCTCATCTCTTGGAACGCGGCCCTGGCGGCCCTCGACAAGGGGAGGCAGCCGCGGCGGGCGGTGCGCACTGCCCGGCGACGCGGGCGGACATCTGGCGCGGCGAAAAGTGCGAGACGCGTGACGCGGTTTCGTAGGTTGCGATACTCGACGAGATGGCGGCGGCGGGCGTGCAGCCCGACGCCGTCTCGTACAACACCGCGTTGCTTGCGTGCCAGCGCGCTGGCGAGTGGGACTCGGTGCTTGAGCTCTTCGAGAGGGTGCGGCGTGCGGGCGGCAAGGGCGCGCCGAACGCCTTCTCCTTCAACGCAGCTCTCGCCGCATGCGCCGCCACCTCCAGGGCGGCGGAGGCGGTCGCGTTGCTCGGCGAGATGCGGGAGGCGGGCGCGCCCCCCACCCTGCGCTCCTATGCGGCCGTCATCTCGGCGTGCGAGGCCGCCGGGGAGTGGGAGCGGGCGCTCGACATCCTCCGCGAGGCCGAGCGCGCCGGGGTGGCGCCGCAGCTGACTCCGGCGGTCGCCTTGCAAGCCGGCCTCGTGTCGCTGAACGCGCTCGAGTCGAGGCTGCTCAGGGCCTTGGGGCGAAGGACCTGAGCGTACCGTGTGCGTGTGTACGGCCAGCGATTTGTGTGAGTGTTGTCTGTATGTGGTTAGACAACGCCAGCACCAATTCGGCTTTTAATAGTTAGAGGCTGCGCAGGCCGTCCCGTTTGCTGTTTGAAACGCCTGTTGCGCTGGCCGCTGCGCGCGCGCGCTGGCCGCTGGCCGCTGCCGGGGCTCTGTCTCACTCTCACGTGCCGCAATATGTGTCACACACGGCGGCTTCTGCCACCTCTCGATTGGTTCCACTTTCTACGCACACCTACCGGGGAAGGGGCGCTTGGGAGCCGGGGCGGGGGCGGGGGCGGGGGCGGGGGCGCGCAGCGCCGAGCGCGGCGGCGCGGCGCGCGCAACAGAGGGTAGGGTGGGTAAGACGGCGAGGAGGGGGCGGCGGCGGCGGCGACGGCGGCAGCGCGCGCGCGGCGCGCGCGACGGGGGGGCGGAGCAGCGGTGGTGGGGGTGATTTGACTTTGCAGAGGCCGTCCCTAGCTGTGAACAGCAAGCGCTTGTATTTCTTTAATCTATCAACACATCGCATCCCTGATGACGCTTTCCGCGATGATGAGCATTCTACTCCTCTTCGTGGTCTCAGGGGCCAACGGCGCCACCCTCGGTCCCACCCTCGCACTCACGAGCGCCGAGGCCTGATCGCTCGCCCAACTTCCCCCCACAGGCCTGCACATCGGCGCGCTCAGCGCCTCGCGCCCGCTTGTCAGCGCCTCGCGCGCGCTTGCTGCCCTTCGTGCCCCGCACCCATCCATGGTCGACACAGAGTGGACGATCGCGCTGCAGCGTGTGGCTGCCGCGTGCCTTGAAGAGGAGTGCTCGGTCAACACCGTGGAAGGCCTGATCTCCGAGCTCTCGAGTGAGCCCGCCGCGCACGCACACTCATCCAGACACGTGCAGCGACGGCCAGCTGCCGTGACACTGACCCGGCGGCGCCACCAAGCTGCCGCGCGACCCTGACACCCGACCGGCCTTCCCTCGCCGCAGCCGAGGCTGAGCGGCTCACCAGGGATGGCACCAAGACGTCCAAGGAGCAGGTCGCAACGCTTCTCGCTCTCGGCCGGCTGCAGGTCCCTTCGTTTCTAAGCGTTCCCTGGCCCAACTACTCGCCCTTCCACGCGTACTGTCGGCGCCCGCAGGCCCTCAGCCAAAACCCGGCCGCCAACAAGAACGAGATCGAGAAGATTGTCGCCGGTGTGTGACACTCTGACACCTCTGGTTGGAAAGGTCTCGGCAGCGAACGTTGGCCCTTCTTGCCGCAGGCATGGCGCGCTCGTTTGGGACGGTCAAGGCGAGTTCCTCACTCGCTGCTCCCCTCCTCGCCTCCCCGCGGTCTCTCTCCCTTTGCTGCCCTCGCGTTGCTGCCCTCACCGCCCCTGTCCTCACTGCCGCTCCCGCCGCCGCAAAGGACTACGACTTCCCCGGCGCGGCGCTCGGCTACACGGGCACGCCGAACAAGAACAAGGTTGGCTTGTGAGCCCGCCCGCTGCGCGGACGGGCACGCGGGCTAACCGCACGTCCTCATGCCGCGGCGGTTTGATGCACGGAGGAAGCGCCGCGAGCAAGGGCTGCTACCCCTTGTGGGGCGGCACGTTTCATTGAGAGTATGGACAATGCGGCTGGAGGTTGTGAGGATCTTGGAATGTCTACTATACACGTGCGCGGGTTATCTTATTATTATCTTATCTATTCGCGAGAGACGACAGAGCAGAGAGTACGCGATAAAAACAGGAAATACAAATCGGCGGACGACTACTGTATACGGTGTGGCTAGTGTTCCATTTCACAGTGCCACAGCTCGCCCTACTGTGCCGTACGAAAGTCTGTGCAGCTGTGAACAGCAGCTCTGAGCACGGCGCCGCAGGCGCCTGTTGATAGGTCCAGGTGATAGCCCTGGATGGGCAATGCATACGCCTAGTTGGGCCTCAGATCGCCCGACCGCGTCCCGGTGCTCTGTGGTCGGATTTGTGACGCCGCCGCACCGCGCCGCGGCCGGGGGCCCTCCGGAGGCCGAGGATGGCCGTGGCGGACCGGGACGAGCTCTGGGAGGTGAAGTGTCAGTGTATATATTGTAGAGACTAACCATACTGTCCCGTTTTGCTGTTCACAGCTAGGGACGGCCTCTGCGGCAAAGTCAAATCAGCCCCACCACCTCCCTCCCACCACAGGCAAACCTTCGGCTCCCGCTCAGAGGCTCGCCGCGCCCGTGCGGCGCGCCGAGGCGGCGCCGAGGCCGGCGCCTTGCACCCGGCCCGCGGCCGGCACCGCCTCGCCCCACAACTGACCGCCCTGCGGCCCCTGCGCAGGCGTACCACAGGCGTCGCTCAAAAAGCGACGCCGGGTGTGGGCTGCTCCCTTGACCCGTCACCCGCCGCGCCCTCGCCCGGCCGCCTCACCGCTCACGGAGCGTGCTCGCCGCCGCCGCCGCGCGTCCCGCGCCGCCACGCATGCCCCTTGCCCTGACGTGCGCGCTCTGTGCAGCGGCGCAGAGCGCGCGTCCCTGGCACAGACGGAGCAGCGGCCGCGCCAGCGGTCGCTGCTCCGCCCCCCCGTCGCGCGCGCCGCGCGCGCGCTGCCGCCGCCGCCGCCGCCGCCGCCCCCTCCTCGCCGTCTTCCCCACCCTACCCTCTGTTGCGCGCGCCGCGCAGCCGCGCTGCGCGCCCCCGCCCCCGCCCCCGCCCCCGCTCCCAAGCGCCCCTTCCCCGGTAGGTGTGCGTAGAAAGTAGAACCAATCGAGAGGTGGCAGAAGCCGCCGTGTGTGACACATATTGCGGCACGTGACAGTGAGACAGAGCCCCGGCAGCGGCCAGCGCGCGCGCGCAGCGCCAGCACTGGTTTGGTAGTAGTCTAAGTTCTGAGCCTGGAGGCCTAACGGGTCTAAGTGTGGCTAGCCACGCTGGAGTGCTTGCGCGGTCTAAGATCAGCGGGAGCCTCTTACATCGGCTAAGTCGGCCGTGGACGGCCTGGGGCCAAGAGGCTCCCACCGTGATCAACGTACAAACGATACGGCGCAACCCCCAAATTTTCTTCGCCTGCGGCGGGCGATCGGTCCTTCTCATGCTCAGCAATCGCCGCCTCAGCATCCTCCTCTTCCGATTCTCGTTGCTGCTTCTTGAGCGCAATCTTCGGCGACTTCTTCGCCAAACAGTTCTCACAAATAGCCTCAAGCTCAAACAAACGCATGTCAGAGAAGCCTGTGTATGCTGGTCCTCTTTGAACGATCCGCGCGTGAGGTAGCATAGGGCCTTGTTGACAGCAGCCAGCTTGTTGCGCTGCTTCGTTGCGATGAGCTGATTGGGATCGCAGAAGTGCATGCCAAGCACCGCCACGATCTTGAAGCAGAACACATCGCAACCGCATCGTCCGCACTGCCATCGGCATGCCGCGCCCGCCGCTTCGCCGCAGCCGCCTTAAGGCACGCATAGCGGCAGCATATGGTACGTTGCGCGTACTTCAGCAGGCGTTGCGCGCCGCAAGTAGCGCACTGGCCCTGGGAGAAGGCGATATGGCGTCGTGCGCGGCAAACGTTGGTCGGGACGCGTCCAGGTATTTTTCGGGTAAACCTGAAAGCTTTTCAGGTATACCCGGGTTTTACCCGGAGTTGGCCTTATGTCGTCTAAGTTCATGGCCCCCGACCATGGGGGTCTAAGTCCGAGCCCGGCTCCGTGCGGGGGCTAAGTTGAGCGCTCGCTCGCTGCAGAGGCTAAGTGTAGAGCGACCCTCTAGCCCTACTACCCAACCATTGCGCCAGCGGGCAGCGGCCAGCGCGTTCAGGCGTTTCAAACAGCAAACGGGACGGCCTGCGCAGCCTCTAACTATGTGCACAATATTTTTCAGTCTAGCTAAGCCTGGGAAGGCGATGCTGGGGCCGTACAGCAGCTTGATGGTGCTTCGCCGGCGTGCGTCCCACCCTGGCGCCTGGGCTGGACCTATCATCGAAAAATAGATTAGCCTGAGAAAGAAATACTTAGAGCCCCAAAACGCCACAAACATGAAACAACCCACATTTGGCGCCCCCGCTTAAAGCGGCGCCGCTTTAAAGCCGTAGAGGGCCCTTGCCCTTTGCCCCTTTTGGCCGGAAGCCCTCTTCGATGCAGTCGCAGGAGTGATAACCCATCGAGGTGGGAGCCGCCTGCGGCATACTGAATCCTCCACCAGTGGCGCAAGCCCGCTCGTCCCGACGCTCGAGCGACTCGTCCACCTTCCCAGCCACGCCCTGCACAGCAGCATGGCCATCCTCCTCCTCCTCCTCCTCACTGTAGTTGTCCCACCCGTCGTCGGAGTCGTCGCCACGGCGCTCGAAGCGGCAGCAGAGCTCCTCTTCCTCTGCTTCCTCTGCTAGCAGCTGCGCCAGCACTGCCTCCCACTCAGGGTCAGCAGCAGAGCCAGCATCGCTTTGAGCAGAGCAGCGCATTGCCACGTCCTCCCCTCGTCGCAGAGCTCCACCGCGGCGAGAGACGTGGTGACAGTGGCGACCGACGTGCCAGTGGCGCGGCTGGCATCGCCAGCAGCGAGGCCGCCAGCATCGCCGCCGCGCACCGCGGCATGGGGCGCAGCAGCGTGCCGTTCGGCCATCGTGTTACGACATCCGACCTGCTTCACAGCTTTGGGGCTGATTCTGCATTCCGCATTCTGCATCTGCATCCTGCATCGGGTGCAGTTCACAGCTTTGGGGCCGATTCTGCATTCTGCATTCTGCATCTGCATCCTGTGAGGGGAGGGAACGGGAACATATGTGCGAGAAGAGAGATTAAGAGCCGCTCGTAGCTCTCGTGTTGTGTTGGTGTGTTTTGTTTCATAACAGTACAAACACATATAAGTCCGTTCCGGACATCAGGATTTAATCTGCGCTCCTTTCGTCCCCCGACGATGCGCTTCCCCAGGACCCCTCTCGCAAGAGGCCAACCGGAGGAGGCGCGTCCCCTGACATGGGCGCTGCTCTCTCCACTGGAGGGTGCATTTCCACCCGCGGACTCGCTCCGTGCGAACTCGCTGTATGGGTAGTTTTGTTCATAGACATGGGCCCGCGCGCCGCGCGCAGGCCGATTGCAGGGCTCTCCCACAACCACGCTGACCCGGATCCCAGGACCAACGACAGAGGCGAAACGACACTCGGCCCGCCGACACAATCGACCACTGGACACTATATCTAAATGCGGCGCAGGCCAATCTCAAGTTCCCTTCTCGATTCCTCGCGGGTTTTGGTGCAGTCACCCTCCCCCGCGACACTGTCGTCCGGCGCCGCCACCTTGAGCCGGTCCGGCATCGCGGCGCGGCTCTCGCGACGCGCCATGATGCGAGCGGCCGGTGTATCCAGCTCCTCTCCGGCCTCGCCGCTCATCCTTCAGCTGGGTGAAACGGTTCGCGCGCCCTTTTCGGCGCCCTTTTTCCTTAAACCGGACCCTTTTCCCCCTCCCCCTTTCCTCTTCTCCCTTTTTACCCATCTCAAGTAGAATAAATAAATAAATAAAACGGTCAAACTCTGAGACGAGATGGGATTTAGGGACATGTGTCCCCGCCCCCTGCACGATCTTGGGACTTGGCGTGTGAGGGATCTTCAATCCGTGTCCCCTCACCCCTCGTCACAACCCGACACGGAAAGAGCGGCAGTAGAGAGAGGTGTCAGGTGTGTCCGAGTCCGTTTTTATTTATTTGTCGTTGTTAAAAAACCTGCGTGGCCGACTACACGGTGAGCCATACGGACCTTGCACAAAACCTTTTCCTTCTAAGCAGGGCTACACAATGACCCTATAGTGTGGGGGTGTTTCTGGCGAGTGGTGATGAGTAGAATTAGATCAGTAACCAGCCTCCGGCGGGGCCCCCCGCTACCATCCAAACCCGAATACAAAGCGCCTCTCCGAGAGCGCTGCGCAGACGGTCTATCTACTAATCATAGAGGCTCAAGTGCGACAAGTCCACACACATAACATGCGACACGGGTGCCTGCCATACACAAAGCATTACTCTCACGACACACGGGCACCGGAGCGGCGGCAGCGGCGGCAGCAGCACACGCGGGCGGACGGATTCGGACGGGGCGGAGCAGCGGCCGCCCCTGGGCGGCCGCTGCTCTGTCTGCCGAGCGCGGTCAGGTGCAGGGAAGCGTGGCGGCGCGGGGAAGCGCGGCGGCGGCGGCGGCGGCGGCGGCGGCAGCGGCACGCGCGGGCGGACGGACTCGGACGGGGCGGAGCAGCGACCGCCCGGGCGGCTGCTGCTCTGTCTGCCAGAGCGCGCCGTCTGCGCAGCGCGGTCAGGTGCAGGGAAGCGTGGCGGCGCGGGGAAGCGCGGCGGCGGTGGCGAGCAGGCGAGCGGCCCGCGCGCGGCGAGGCGGACAGGTGATCGGCAGGCGGGTGATGGGCCGGAGAGTGACCGCGCCCAGCGATCGGAGACGAGCCGATCGTCGCTCGGCCGCAGCTGACCTCGAAGGCGTGCGGAGCGCGACTGTCGGTGTCGGGGGGCGGCCGTCATGTGGCGAGGAGGGAGGACGACAAGTGCGCGTCGTACGGGTCGCTCTTCATCGGCCAGTCGAGCGGCACTCAAGTCGAGACCGAGCATGGGCGACGAAAAGCCGGTGGGGCCGGTGGGAGGTAGGACGAGATTCGTTTCGCGCTTTCAAAAGCGGCTTCGCGCGCAGCGCAACTTTGGGTTTGCCACGAAAAGCGCTTCCAGCTGGAAATGGGGGTAAGTGGGCGGCCAATTCACACCTCGCGGGACTACTTATGTTTTCGTAAACGTAGTTGTGGCCCCCCGCTACGTCGCACGAGTGCAACCGGGTAGCGGGGGGCTATTAGCCAATGGTATTTTGAAGTTCATATGAAAATACCAACTTGCCTATGTGCACGTCTCCGCGGCGGCGGCCCGGAGGCGGCCCGGCGGAGCGGTCAGAGCAGCACTGCGCCGGCCGGCGATCGACTCTCGACTATACCACGGGCTCTATTGAATGGCCTCAAGGTGCTCTCTAGGGCTGCCCTATTCCGCTCGCCCGGCTACGTCGCCGGGCTTCGAAGGAAAAGGTTTCGCTCGGCACGGCGTCGGAGAGCAAACTTCGGCGTTCGTCCTATGTGGAATGCTGGACGCACGTCGGCAAGTGGGCCCATGACAAGGCGGGCTGCTGCTCAGAATCTGGGCCGTCGGCGCTCGCTCTCGCGCTCTTCATAACGACTTTGCCCCCTCCCTCCCGCGCCGTTGGGCAGCCTGACCACGACAACGCCAGTGCGAGCCGCCGGCCTGCAGCTCGAGGCGCCTTTGAATGAGCACGAGCTGGTGCGCGGCGGCGGCGCGGGTGATGCAGCCCAAGGTGACGGCGACGGCGGAGGGGGCGGCGGCGGCGGCGGAGGAGGCGGCAGCGGCGGCGATGGCCGCGGGTTCGGCCCGCCCGCCTTTGCTGCTGGTCCTGGTGCTGTGGGCATCATCACAGCTCAGCGGCGTGTGCGACCAGGGCCAGTGGTTAGACTTTCGACGCGGTGAGGCTGCTCTCTGAGCGATGACACTAGCAGGAGCATCATGTGTGTCATCGGAGTCACTTGTATTACGATACCACCACGCCGCCACGCTCGCAAGGGCCGCCTAAGCGCCTAAGCACCCTAAGCACCCCCGCGCTCAGGCCGCTTAGGCTTAGGCGAGTGACGGCCGGCTGCCCGGGGAATGGCGTGCCTCCGCCGTGGGCTGAGCACCCGGGAGCGAGCCACTCAGCAAGTGGTGTGCGAGCGTGTAGCCTTTAGCGTGCAGTCGGCCCGTCTGCCCGCTTACAGCGGCAAACACCAGCGCGCGGCCTGCAGGAAAGGTGCCACTCCCCCGACCGCGCGCCGCACGCGGATTGCAGCCAGCCGCGAGTCCGTACCCGGCGCAGGGTCGTCCTCTCGGCCCGCCCAATAGCCGACGCCATAGTCAAAGCTCAGCTCGGTGCCTGCTCCAGACGCGCCAACGCTGAGTACGGCCCCAACCCCACCCTGCTTATCTTCTCTCCTGCTCTCTCCTGCTCTCTCGTCTCCTCCTAGCCCGGCGCCCTCTGCGAGGTCCCGCGCAGCAAAGAAATCGACTCCCCGCCCGCCCACGGCCGGCGCGGCGACGAGGCTGCCCGATTCCGCGTGGTTGAGGAAGCGAGAGGCCTATCCGAAGTTCCGCAACAGTTTCCGCGAAGGCTCCTCCGAGAGAAGGCACCTCGGCCGGGCGGTGGTGGCGCGCATGGCAGCTCTCCGTCGCGTCCAGGTACACGTCGCCCAGAGCAAAGAGGTACGAGCTGCCGTGGCGGCGGGAGGCCTCCGCCGCCTGGTCGCGGGTGAGCAGCGCGCCGCGGTAGCTGGTCACGTACTCTCCTGCGGCGGCGGGCCGTGTCGCAAAGGCGCCGAGCCCCCGGCCATCGGTCGTCGGCCTTACCTACTCGACACGTCTTGGACGTGTCATGACGTGTTGCGGACTCGTCGTAGAAACCCGGGAGGTGGAGCGGCTTCACCTCGAGAGCCATCTCGTGCCTGGGCGGTCGCCCGGCGGCGGTGGAGTAGCACGCGTCCATGGTCGGGGGCCGAGACTGCCTGCTGAGTGGTGAAGACGGCGGCGAAGGCGGCGGCGGCGGCGGCGACAACAGCAGATGCTGCAAGCTTCCAGGCATTGGGCAGCGAAGCGTGGCTGTGCCCGCGTCGGCGCTCCACTCTGCTGGCAGGCGTGCGAGCAACTGCTCCGGCCCAAAGGACACCTCTTTCGACTCGTCCAGTGCCATCACGCACGACGGGTCCCCGCCGCCGTCGAGCAAGAGACGCGTGCCCCCGATCACACCGTGCTCACAGTTGTGCGACCAGTTGAGCTGGAGGTAGTCCACGCGGCAGAAAAGGCAACGCGGCGGCGTCCCCGGACCAACCTCGACGTTGTCCACCAACCAAGTGCCGACCTGATAGGCGACGACATCGCCCTCTTCGAGCAACGTGGAGAGATGATGCTGGCCTCGTCCAAAGTCTTCCTGGAGCGCTGCCGCTGCGGGAGCATCAGGCAGGCTCGAC